TCCATAGCTGGGGGGCAGTGGGTATTGCACAACACCAGAGTTCCCTGGGGGTGGGTCTGGGGGGAGCTCGGCTGGTTGGGCCACGGGGACCGGAGCAAGTACCCCGGCCTTTGAAGCAGGCCCTGTGTACGCCCCAGTCCGGCCACCTCCCTGGAGGTGATGTTGTCGCAGAGCCCTGAAGACAACCCCACTTTTTCAGTCCTGCCTTGGGCCAGCCGGTATCCACCACCTCCTGTCCTCGGTGGAGGCCCTTGGGGGAGTGCTGATGGGTTGTCTGAGTGCGTGCAGGGTAAGCCGGAAAGGTCTCGGGTTTGTTTCAACCCTGCCGCCGGGTAACTGTCTCCAAACCCCAGGGTCGCCCGGGCTGCCCTCCGGGGGAATCGAGGGGACCTTGGCAGAATCTTTGGTGCTGCCGGGTGAGGTTGTAGATAAGGACTCACCCCAGACCGCGAATCGAGCCCAGACCCCTGAGCTGGTTTTGAGGCGTCTATTCTAGTGCTGGGTCATTGGCGTCCCGGACCAGGGGCGCGCGGGCTCCCCCGGGACTGGGGCTGAGAGCCGACGGGACAGATGGGCACTGGGTCGCCCTGTTATCTCCGTCCTTGTCCCAGGAGTGGGCCGGCGGCTGCCCGAGCAACCAGTTTCCTGAGCTGGGTGGGGAACAGGGCGGACGGGAACTGTTAACCTTTGAGATGTCTGAGGTGGGGGGAGGATGAGGCAACCGCTGGTGGCGCCTGAGTCCTGCAGAGGGAGGACCCTGGACCCGTGGCGGGCGAGGCGGGGCCGTGTTTGCGTTCTGGGGTTGCCAGGCTTAACTTCTGCGTCTCCCACTCACTGATGCCCTTTGCTTGCCCTCACCCACCCACCTGCCTGCGGGCGGCCGGCCCTGCCTCGCGTCCCCGTGCCCTGCGTCCAGGTGTGGGGCCAACGGGTGTGTGTGTGTGTGTGTGTGTGTGTGTGTGTGTGTGTACACACGCAGGCCGAGTCCCATTGGCGGATTCCAGTGGAGACCCAGTGCCTCACAGAGGTCGGGATGGGTCAGAGCCCGCTTTGCACCCCTTTTACTCCCAGCCCTGGGGCTGCCCGAAGTGGCCTGCTCCCCACTGTGTTCTCATCCCCAGGGGCCAGGAGCGCGGGGATCCCTCTTTGGCCTCGCTCCCGTGCACGCCCTGTCCTCACAGCCCCCCTGGGGGCTTTGGCAGCAGGTCAGCCTCTCTGGCCCCCGTGATCGGCTCCGTAAGCTGGAGACCAGAAGTGGTATGACTGAGGCACTGAGCTGGGTCTCTCCTCGAGCCTCCTGCCGTTTTTCTCTTCATGCCCCCAGCACCTTCAAGTGAAAACGTAAAATCCCAAGGGCTGGTCACCCGGTGCCATTGAGAACCCTGGGCCACGAGAGTCCTTCATGAGCCTCCCGTCCTCTAAAAGGGTCAGGTCTGTTCATTCATGACCAGGGTAATTAAATAACTCTTTGTAAGAGGCAGGGAGCTCCTTGTTAAGTGGTCTTCCCTCGTGCAAGTGCAAACACAAGCAAAATCCGTTCCCTCTCGACACCCACCCCCCTTCCTTTTAAAGGGGGGGTTTTTATGCTTTAAGGGAAATGAGGAATGGGGGGGGGGAACAACCTTTAAAGGAATTTTAGGCAGATTCAACATTTTTCTGGGGTTGCTCCAAAAATTCCCTCAACTGTAATAAAAAAGAAAAAGTTGTGAGCAGGCATCTGATTAGTTGGCTTTTTACAACACAGCTTTTCTTTTGGATGCTTTAAAATGCACAAATACAGTTTTAAAACAAGCCCCTGTATAGTTTTCTGAGGAGGGAGAGAAGTTGCTGAAAATACCGGAAAAGGTTGTAAAGCTGGGGAGAGTTAACAAGGGCCTGTGAGTCTTGCCTTTGGAGGTTCTGTATCAGCAACCGGGAGGAGAAGCCAACGTCAGGCTCCTGAGACGCTTCCTTAGTCCTTGGAGGGAAGGAGACTTCTGGGCAGGAGCCTCTCAGCCCCTCAGCTCCTCGCCCCAGGCCAGGGAAGCCCCCTGAGGAGCACCGCATGGACCTTTGTGGGGAGACGCCTGTGAGCTGTGGCCCAGTTCAGGGAACTATGCTTCTCTGAAGGTGATGCTGAGTGCTTCCCAGAAATGAGCCCAAATGGTGGGAAATTTGGGGGTGAGACCCTGAGCTGGCCACATAGCAGCTGTCTCGGGCCCCCAGAAGTGTGGTGCGCAGAGGAGGCCCCCGCTGGTGCCATGGTTTTGCCGGGGAGCATGTTTTTGTGGCATAGATAGTCCAGGAGCAGTGAGGAGGAAGGGGTAGCGGGCGCCGGGGCACGGCCAGGGTGCGGGGCGGGGGGGGTGACGTGGGGGTGACAGCAGACAGGCCTGCAGGAGGAGGGAGCCCGCCAGGGTCCTGCGGTGGCAGCTCGTCTCCCCATGGCCTTATGGGGGTCGCTGTCGCACACGGGGACACCCAGTACACCGCTGTTTATCTGGGCTGGGCCATTAAGCTCAACAGAAAAAGGCTTTTTTTCCAGGGATGTCTGGCAGGCTGCACAGATGAAAGAGAACCGCCAAGAACACTCCCCCCTCCCCCCCCCAGGGCTCAGGCCAGTCCTCCAACCTCAGGTCCAGCCCCCCAGCTCCCGCCCCGCTCCCCCTGCCCCCTGCCCCCCTCCCCTTCTCTTCCTGGGGCCTGCGTGGGGGCCAGGTTTCAGGGGACCGTGCTCCTGGTGAAGCTCCACCGAGGGTCTCCCGAACCTCCTGCCCGGCGACTCCCCCAGTCCTCTTTCCAGATCAGCTTTGTTGCCCTGTGTGGGGATCATGAGCCAGAGCTTCTTAGTTTCAAAACACCCTCCTCCCCAAAACAGCAGGGCGGTCTCCCCGGCCCTCCAGAAGAGGGCTTTCTCCGTTCAAGCAAACTCAAGCAAACTCGCCAGAGTATTATTTACATGGATATTATGGGTCTTTGGTGTAGCGTTCAGAGCTGAACTCCCTCGACAAGAGTTCAAAGATTGCCAGCACTCACGAGTTTATTAGCAGTTGATGGATACTTTGCAGAAACAAGTTAATGCCTGATGAGTCACCTCTGCTTGGAGCCCATGTCCTTCTCTTGTTTTTCCATATGTTCCAGAGTATGCACGCAAACACACACATGCTCACATAACACACACGTGTGTTCACGCTCGTTGGACACACTTGTGCTTTATAGAGACCCAGGTGTTTGGGGGGTGACGGGCCAGGGTTCCGGGGTGGATTTTCAGGGGGAGGGGATGGAGGGAGAGCAGTGAGCCCTGGGCTTCCCCGTTTTGGGTGACTGTCCCGGTAGGCCTTTGAGAAGGCCGGTGGCATCTGCCTCCGTGGTCACAGTGCTTGCTTGTACTTACTCACAGAACAGACTTTACAGAACACCTCCGGAGGTGCGAGGCTGGCTGCTGCTCCCCTCTGCAAAAAAAAAAAAAAAAAAAAAAAAAAAATGGAGCTGCCTGGTTCCCAGGTCCTAACATGCCTGTAAAGGTTGGAAGCAGTTGTGTGCTGAGCTGCCCTGGCTCTACCCAGCCTCCTGGGGCAGCAGAACATGGGTCCCTGAGGCCGCCTGCACCCCCCTGCTGCCAGGCTATATGGTGGAGCCACCAGCATCCACCCTCTGTTGTTCCAAAATCAGAGGCCAAACAAACCAAAAAACCCCACCCCCTCTCGCGGCCAACCCCCACCTTTGGGCCCCGAACCCCCAGTGAGTGAGAAGCTAGGGCTGCAGGGGAAGGCAGGAGGCCTCTGCCGCCTGCCTTTCCCCATTTTTGTTAACAAATACAAGACTTCCGGTCCCCACCCTGCCACCACAAACCACAGCGTTCCTGCAGCCTGGCCCGGCTGGGGAGATTTATGGTTCCCAGTCTGAGGCCTGCCCTGCTGGCTCCAGCTTAAGGAGGAGTTGGAATGCCAGCCACTGGGGCTCCCTCTACCTCTGTATCCCCCCCCCACCCTTAAAGCTCCCAGCGCCTGTTTAGGAAAGTCACCTTCCCAGAATCACCCCAGCCTGCTGGCTGCCTGCGGGGAGAACCGAGTCTAGGGAGACTAGGAGGGGCCCCCGGTGTGTGGGGGGGGGGGATGTGGAGCAGGGCAAGGTGTCTCCTGGTTCTGGGTGGGGGGACGGGGTTGGGGAGAGGAGGTACAGCCAGGGAAGGTCAGCCCCTTTCAGACACATAATCCGTCTGGGCTGGAGGAAGCTTCGTCAAAGTAGTCTGGGTTAACACCAGTCTGCGTGCTGTGATTTGGCGTTTCCAGTGAATTCACCCTTTGTGTCCAAGGCTGCTGCTCACAGACACACTGAGAGCTGATTTTCTTCTATTAGAAAGATAGATGTTTTTGCCCCAAACCACCTGCACTTTCATTTTTACCAGATAGCGCTCCTTCACGGGCGAGGTGCTCATCTGAGAAGTTGGGGACGCATGCAGAGACCGCCCCGTAGGTGGCCCTGGAGACTTGGGTTCCGGGCCTGGCTGTGTCTGTCATCTGTGGGGACCCGCCCAACAGGCTTTCTGGGCCCTGGTTTTCTCCTGAGGACAAGGACCAGGGACAAGAGCACCAAGCCTTTCCCGTTCCGTTGACTTTTGAAGTCTGTGACTCTAGGCCATCTGGAAGGCCTTCTCTTGTCCCGGAACCAGGGCCAGTGAAGCTAGACTGAAGTTCCCTGGCTTCTGAGTTCTACAGGGATGGGCTTCCTTTGGCCCCACAGGCAAACGTGCTGGCTTCCTGGGTCCCTGACCCGATGAAGGCGGGGAGTGGAGGGAGGTGGAGCCCCCAGTGAGCCCTGTGTTGAAGCGCGGGTTCTTCCGTCACTGGGCCCCGGTACCAGGACTGCAGGGCTGGCAGCTCCACCACCCCCTCCCCTCAGGAGAGCCCGGGTGGTGTGGGGCTACGTGTGGGTGTCCCCGTGCCTTGATGGGTGGAGGAAGTGTCCCCCCAGCCAGTGCTGCCATCACCACCAACCGTGTCCACCCTCTTGTCTTACAGATTCCCAACTTCTTCTGGAGCCTGGGGATCGGTCACACTGGTGCGTGGTGGCTTACTGGGAGGAGAAGACGAGAGTGGGGAGGCTCTACTGCGTCCAGGAGCCCTCCCTGGATATCTTCTATGATCTACCTCAGGGGAATGGCTTTTGCCTCGGACAGCTCAACTCGGACAACAAGAGTCAGCTGGTGCAAAAGGTGCGGAGCAAGATCGGCTGCGGCATCCAGCTGACGCGGGAGGTGGACGGCGTGTGGGTATACAACCGCAGCAGTTACCCCATCTTCATCAAGTCGGCCACACTGGACAACCCGGACTCCAGGACGCTGTTGGTGCACAAAGTGTTCCCCGGTTTCTCCATCAAGGCTTTTGACTACGAGAAGGCGTACAGCCTGCGGCGGCCCAACGACCACGAGTTCACGCAGCAGCCGTGGACTGGCTTCACCGTGCAGATCAGCTTCGTGAAGGGCTGGGGCCAGTGCTACACGCGCCAGTTCATCAGCAGCTGCCCGTGCTGGCTGGAGGTCATCTTCAACAGCCGGTAGCCGTGGGCACAGCCGGCCCGGCCCAAACTACTTTGCTGCTAATACTTCCTCCCGAGTGCTTGCTTTTCATGCAAACTCTTTGGTCGGTCAGTGTGTTGTTTTTATGCCCTCCGCCCCCCCTTGTCGTTCCTGTTTATGTTCTGTTTTGTTCTTTGAGAAATAGCTTATGAAAAGAATTGTCCGTGGAGGGAGGCTCTGGGGTGGGGGGGGCTTGGCTGGCAGGACACCCCGGGAAGAAAAGGGGAAGCAGCTATCCGCACCACCACACACAGCATCAGAACGGGCAGCAGGCCCTCACTTTGGGGGGTGGGGGGGTCCCCGGATTCCTGTGTCTGGGCGAGTATGCATGCGTCGGGCGTCTCCTTCAGGTGTCTGTGCCAGTAGCTTGTGGTCCCCCATGCTGTGTCCCTCCCTCCTTCCTCTGGACAGGCTCAGGGGGACAGAGGCAGGACCCGGGTAAGCTGGCAGCTGAGGTTCCAGACGAGCCAGAAGCCGGGCTCCGTCCCCCACTCCCCAGGGAATCCCCGCTTCTCCCCTTCTAGGACATGGGTCTGTCTGTGGGCTTCTTAGAAGCAGCCCCACAAGAGGCTGAACCAGAACCAGTTGTTTCCTCCTTGTCCGACTCCCCTCCAGCCGCCCTGCTGTCCTTGTTGCGTCTCTCCTTTTTGGCCATCTGTTCCTGGGTATATCTGAGATGGGCTTCCTGAGGGCTGCCCGGCCGCCCCGCCGCACTGGTGCCCACCCAGGGCCCTCTGCAGCCCCTCAGCCTCTCCCCTGCCCTGGCCCCTTAACCCCCCCCCCCCCCCCCCCGAAAACCAGCTCAGCACTTTCCTCCCCTCTGCCGCCCACGTGTTGAGCTCTGCTGTTAGACCAGCCAGGGGAGCAGCCCTGGGAGGGGAGACTTCTCAGCAGCACCCCCTTCCCACCAAGAAGGATTCGTTCCATCATAACCCAAGGTACCGCCCTGGGCTGACACCTAACTCTTTCATTTCTCCTACAACTCATACACTCGTATGATACGTTGACACTGCTCTTAGCTCAATGAGCATGTTTAGACTTTAACATAAGCTATTTTTCTAACTACAAAGGTTTAAATGAACAAGAGAAGCATTCTCATTGGAAATTTAGCATTGTAGTGCTTTGAGAGAGAAAGGACTCCTGGAAAAAAAAAAACCCTGAGATTTATTAAAGAAAAAAAATGTATTTTATGTTATATATAAATATATTATTACTTGTAAATATAAAGACGTTTTATAAGCATCATTATTTATGTATTGTGCAATGTGTATAAACAAGAAAAATAAAGAAAAGATGCACTTTGCTTTAATATAAATGCAAATAACAAATGCCAAATTAAAAAAGATAAACACGAGATTGGTGTTTTTTTCTATGGGTGTTATCACCTGGCTGAATGTTTTTCTAAAGGAGTTTATGTTCCATTAAACAATTTTTAAAATGTATCCTTGATTCCATGTCCTTCTGGTGGGAGGGGAGTCGGGAGGGGCGCATGGGAATCCAGGACAGTGGGGTGGGTCTCCTCTCTTGGGGAGGAAGGGGAGGGGCCACAGAGGAGACACCCAGCGCAGCCTGCTGTCCCAGCCTCTGTTCTATAGCCACAGGGCCGCCTCCTGTTAGCACCAGCGACTCTAGGGTGCAGCTGGCAGGTGTCCTTAATTTGTTGACCTCAGGGACCTCTGACAAATAGGGTGGTTTTTCTTATTCATGAGAGAGAGACAGGCAGAGGGAGAAGAAGGCTCCATGCAGGGACCCTGTTGCAGGATGTGATCCCGGAGCCCCAGGATCACATCCTGGACTAAAAGGACACGCTCAATCACTGAGCCACCAGGTACCCCAAGCAGGTAATCCTTCACCTCTCAGAGTTGGGAGGGAATGCCATCTCAGCTGATTGGGAAGGAGGTTGCACTGGGATATGGGGCGGGAGTGGGGTTATTGTGATCCCAGGAACCTGGGTCCATCCAGTTAAATCATGAACCCCACTGTGCCTTTCGCAGAGGGAGTCCCTGCCGCCCTGCCACCCTGGATTTTGAAACTGCTTCCCCGAAGGCTGACGACCTGGAGGGAAGGTTGCTGGGGGTTGGGTGTTGGTGGCGGGCAGAGGGACCAGGCTGGTCCAGAAGGTGGAGCAGGCCTCTGGGAACAGTCCAGGTCCTACTCTATGACCTCTCCCCATTCCACCTGAGCTCTTCGTGACCAGTCCCTGTCTGCTGGTGAATCCCTCCCAGCCCTGCCCCTGGGATTTCTGCTTGATCTGAACTAGGTTTTGAATTCAAGGCCTTTGGCGGAAGCGGTGGGCATCAAACAGGGTTGTGTGGGTGTCTGTGTTGGGGTCTTGAACCCAAGATCCAGGGAGGAGGTCTCAGAGGTGGGGGTTAAGATTTTGTACATCACAGGGGCACCTGCGGGGCTCAGTCGGTGAAGCCTCTGCCTTCTGCTCAGGTTATGATCTCAGGGTCCTGGGATCCAGCCCTGCTCAACCACGAATGGGTTTCTCCCTCTGCCCCTCCCTGTGCTCGTGCTCCCTCTGTCTCTCAAATAAAATATTAAAAAAGATCCTGTATATCACAAACCGGTACAATTTCAAAAAACCTTTCTGGAGGGTCAAAGTAGGATTATCAATATTTTATTTTGCCAAGTAATGACACAAAGCCATGCGGCCTCCCGGCACCGCCATCTCAGTCAAAAGGGTTACAACAGAGTTGCGTAGTGAGAAATATTAGTACATGTTCATTTATGTGGGAGCGTTAGTGCCAAATGGTCCGGGCCAGCCTTATTCACATGAGGTGATGGGGAGCTCACTACCTCTCAGAGCAGCTTTTTGCTTTTTATCAGTTGAAGTGAAACCCGCCTCCATTCTAGTTCTGCAACCCAGAATAAGTGTAAAATCCCATGTCTGGAAAACACCCAAGGAGGGTTTTAATTAACTCCAGGGTGGTAGTGGTGGAGGAGGGGTGGGTGGGGGTGGGAGGTGTTACATTAGGGAGCGGGCAAAGCCATTTTAGTTTGCTCCAACCTGCAGTGGCCTGCAGGAAGCACTTTAATAATAATAGTAACTGCTACTTACTGGATGCGTAACCGGGTGCCAGGCACTATGCTAAGCTAAGCGTCTGAGGGAGTTACTTAATCCTCACAAGGACCCCCTGCACATGTGTGGGGCTTTGAGAAGTTAAAAGACTTGCCCACCGTCACTCAGGGAGGAAGCCCTAAGAGAGACCAGGATCTGACTCCAGCGCGGAGTGGTCTTTGTCATTGGTCCCTACGGGGATGTTGATTTGATGGGATCCTGCGTGGGGATTGCCCTGGAACTCAAAATTGGGAAGGTGGGCTACCCCACTGGCACCCGGTCCCGCTGTTGGGCAGGGCCTCCGATTCCGGAAGCAGGAAGCTGCCCCTCTGTTCCAGCCCCAGGAGGCTGGAATTGGGGTGGGGGCACATGGCCCCCGGTGGTATGGGTGGCTGTGGGTGGGCAGGGAAGGAGGTACGTTTGGGGGAAGCCAGGGGGTTTGCTAGTAGCCGACACTCCTCCCCTGGCTGCAGGTGAGTGGCCAGGACCCAGGACCAGCGGAGGGGAGGGAAGGTGCCCCCACTGGGAGGAAGCTTTCCAGCTGCCTGGCTCTTCTCCTGTGTCTCAGCTCACCTTCCAGCTTTGGGGTGGCTTGCTGGGTTCTGCACTCTCACTGGGCAGCCGCGTCACTGTCTCCACACCTTGTGGATACCCCTCGGCCGCAACCAGAAGCCCCGGTTCCCTCATCTCCCTGGCCCTGTCTGCCATTGCAGAATAAACAATCAAGCGCTGCCCTCCCCACCTTATTCAACCTGTAATCATAAAATGCAAATATCTCTCACCCACGTTCCCTTCTTGGACTCCACTTGGATGATTCAATTCAGAGCTTTTGGCGCCTCCGTGGCCTTCTTTCATCTCCTCCGAGTGGCTGGGCCTTTCAGCATCTTCCCTGTAGCCCTCACCTTTTAACCTCCTCACCCCAGACCCCAGGCGTTGAGGGCACTTGATGTTCCTGCACTCTTCCAAGCAAGCGCTTTCCAGCTTCTTCAATGGGCTGTCTGACCCTTTTCCTTCAGGATGGAACCCAGGCCACACCTCCTCCAGGAAGCCTCCCTCCCTTTGAAAAATATCTGCCCTACATAGACATCTGAGGTGTAGGAATCTGTCTCCCCTACTGAACCATACACTCGTGGCACTTCGGAGCCTTGGTTGGGGCCCCACTTAGGATCTGCTATCCTGACAATTCCTGGCACGAGGCTCAAGCAGGGCTTTTCCCATGAACCAGGGAAGGGGAGGCAGACCCGTGGGATCAACCTGGGCTGGGAATGGTCAGAACTGTCTGCATTGTGTCCTGGTGTCCTGATCATGCGCTGGGCAGCATTCGGCGCATTCCCGGCGCATGGGAAAGATCCCAGGTAATCCTTACCACTGCCCTAAACATAGCTGCCAGTGTTAGGCCCATTCTACAGATGAAGAAACCAAGGTTTGGAGAGCTGCCCAAGGCCCCTAGCTGGTAAGTGGCCGACTTGTGCCTCTCTCTACTATCTCATCTCTGGGGACAGACCTGGGTCATGGGGTGACTGCATGGGGCAGAGTGGTTTTTTTCTTTTTCTTTTCTTTTCTTTCTTTCTTTTTTTTTTTTTTTTTTTTTGAAGATTTTATTTATTCATGAGAGACAGAGAGAGAGAGAGAGAGGCAGAGACACAGGCAGAGGGAGAAGCAGGCTCCATGCAGGGAGCCCGATGTGGGACTCAATCCCAGGACTCCAAGGTCATGCCCTGGGCCAAAGGCAGGCGCTCAACCCCTGAGCCACCCAAGGGCCCCATGTTTTTCTTTTTCCTAAAACAAGTTCTGGTTTGAATGGACCAAGCTGATCTGATCGCCAAATAGTAGAAGCGACAAGGTGTGTGTGTCTTGGTCGTACTCAGAGGGTCTTGGTCATGCTCAGAGGACCTGCGGGTGTTGTGCCCCCTGGGCCCCTGCACGGCAGCCTTGCAGGGAGGCCCGAGAATAGCAAGAGCAAGGCTGGCATCACAGGCTCCCAAGGCCTGCACAGGCACACAGCCTGGGCTGGAGCTCCCCCGCAAGCTTGTGGGCAGGGTGAGGCCTGAAAGCATAGCTGGAGGCTGCATGAGGCTGGGGGCAAGTGGGGCAGGGGGGCTCGGGCTTGGGAGGCCAGGGTTGGAGGACTCACTGAGGCAGGTCACTTAACCTCTCTGAACCTCATTTTCTGAAACAAAATGGACATACTGCCTGCCTCAGGGGGCCGAGAGAGGGATTAGTGAATAAATATGTCTGAGGAGCTGGCCGGAGGGTGCTGAGCTGAGCCACGCAGGCCTGCTCGTGTCTGACTCCGGGGACCTACCAGGATGGCAGTTTCCTACTGTTTAATCCGCTAGATGCTTGATTCGAGAAGCTGCAGGCAGGGGCCAGAGGGCCGAGCCCGTCACAGAGGTCGGGGGGCAAAACTGGGGTGACCCCCTTCTTGCGACCAGGGCAAGAGGTCAAGGCCGGCATCGGGCAGGAGGCCTGGGGTGCCCCGGCTGCGGGGTGGGGGCCGGAGCCACAGGCCACCGGCAGAGTCGGGGTTCCCGGTGCTTCGGCTGCCAGCTCAGCACTCTCCCAACCCTAAGTGCCCCCCTCTCTTTCTGAAAGTAATGATTTTCTAAAAGTGGAGTCCCTCCCCTCCCCCAGCCGCAATTAATCTACTGAGCACCAAGTGGAGGTGCCCTGAGTACGTTTGGACCCACGCGCGAGCACCTTAATGAATATGGGGACAACTTACTGGCGGTTGGGGTGGGGGGGTGGGACGCAGGCTGGGGAGGGCTGGGCCACCAGGCTGGACTCGCCATCTGGTGCCCAGAGCCACAGCAACGGGGGCGCGGGGGGCTTCCTCCTAGGGCGCCCACACAGTGGGCCTTCCCCAGGATTTTGGAGCCGCAGGACCTCAGTCCCCAGCCCCAGGTCACCCCAGGAACACGTGCTGCCCTGGGCCTGAGGCTGGTGGATAAACCCGGGGCACTTCCCTGGCCTTGCTGGTTAGTCTTCAGGGAGAAAGGCTGCGACTGTTTTGTCCGGGACAAGCCCGCGCTGTGGAACGCACACTGGACACGAGCTGCTGAAAGAAAAGCCAGACGCTTTGCTCCCCGTGCGGCTTTGGGTGCGGGCACCCGAGGGAAAGTAACGCCTCGGGGTCTGGGGTCTGGGCCTCGGGCCTGCGGGCAGGACACAGACCCCCACGGCGGAGCTGGGGGTGGGGAGTGCATGTCTCAGGGCTGCACTGAACCTTCACAGGTAACGTGTCCCCTTAGGTGCAGCGGTGCAGAGAGCCCCTTGTGTGCCCTGTCAGGGAGACAAGCTCCGACTGTGCCCATTGAGAAGGAGAAACTGAGGACCACAGGTGTCCGTGGCTTTGTGGTCTCCCAGCCAGGGGTGGCC